TCAGCCTCAGGGCGTTCCATGGCCGCGTAACCGTTGATAGACGGGAAAACCGGATCGTGACATGACTCTGGCGTCGCAATGCCCGGCAGATACTCACCACTCAGCCGGACTTCGGCTACAATATAACCAGCTGGACAACACATACGTTAACCTGCATTCTTACCGGTAGAAATAAACCACATCCGCTCCCTCATCGGGTCGCATCGATAGTTCCTGACCTCATGGTTAAACTCATGCCTGTAGCTGTAACTGAAAACCACAAGAGTTGAACGTGGATGCACCGAATTTAGAGAGTATGCCAGATGAAAGATACCTGTGCCGATACGTTTCGTACTTGCTCTGTTTTCAAGCTCACAGACCAAGCTCAGATTTCAGGTTGGCCTTGACTATGACATTAAGTCTAGATTTTCCTCCTCTACAAAGGCGATATGCCAAGAACGTTTCTTCCGACGACGTATTTATCGTTAAATTTATTTGTATACGAAGAAAATTCCAAATTAAAGGACCCTTAGAAATATTAAGAGGGACTTACCTCCAATTTCAATGGCAAAATGGACGATGTGTACATCGGCGATTCGATGGCCACAGTACGGAAGCCTGATTCGAATGTTATTTGTAACAGTCAACGTTTCCGTTTTTCTGAATGAACAGCCGTAGTGACAATTGCTTCGTAATTTAAATAACGTATTAGCTGACCACTTAGACCATTCGCTTCCATCAACTCTTCTGAAGGTAACGGGAGATGGTGTGATATAATATCCTTGTGCATTTTCTTTCCAAGCTAGTACTCGTGTTTTGAATGATATTAAGTGTGCCCAGTACACTATGCGATTCAGGCACTGTCATTTTGGTCTTCCTATTGGTCGCAATTCCGGGATCAATATCTCAGTGCTATTCTCTCCAGACAGTTATCTTTTTTTTCTCACATTGTGACCATGCATCGTAGCTTCCGCTGGACGATAATATTTGAGTTCAAAGTTGCTTTAAGATCCACCATCGATTTGGAGGTTCGACCAGGAGATTTCTGAGAATCGTTTGTAATGATATTTCTGAACCATTCAATGGATCTCTCTGACGATCCAACTATTGCATACAAGCATTCCAGTTTATGAAACTATCCACTTAGCTAATCTTACATTGGTAAGATGTCTCATCTTGGAAATGGGAAATGGAAAACGACTGCAAACGTTTTCATCTATTTAGTACTGTAAGCTTGACGGCTTATATCTCGATTTTCATCCACTATTTTCTACAAAGAGTGAAGAAAGGACTGAAGGGAGGTCACTTTTCCAACTCAGTATTAAGCATGGTGTTCGAACCGAGACTTCCACCTAGCAAACCCCTGTTAAAGGCAACATGCTGACAAGAAGAAGAAGAAGAAGATTCAAACTGAGACTACCAGTGTTACTTCCGGTTCTTATCTTCCTCAGATCGAACTCTAACCAGACATGATTACTCTAGCTCTGTTGGTAGTGCAGTTTATGGAAGCCTGTGCTTGCTTCCAAGGTCTAAATAAACATGGATGATACCACACATAAAATTTACAAATTTTTCTACAGTTCAAATCATCATTCAAATCATGTGTTATCACAAAACCTTAAGTGAGTCTGTCACTAATGAAATCACGTTATGTTTCGCTTAGATGATATCATAACAGATCCATTCCCTCTCAAAAATTAAAATTTCAGTTGCTCTTCTCAATATCGTATGTCTTACGCTGAAAGCCAATGGAGTATCTTCAAAAACGTTGGAGAATTTGCATGCAATAAATTCTATGTGTGGTGTGTCCCCGTAAGAGACCTACCGAACTTTGAAATCTCTAAATATATATTAAGTGAAAGTGATCATGCATATCTTTATGTTCCTCGAATAATGTTTTGAAGGTCTCTTTAAACCAGATGTAAAATGCCTTTCAAGTCATCTGACCATGGTAAACTTCTAGTCAACTTTCCCGTCATAAGACTTCTCAATATAGACCATAAGAAGCCATTGAAAATTGGTTAAATTACATCAGGAACGAATATCGGTTTCCTCTCTGCCTGAGGTTCGTCAATTTCACCGACGCTTTCGACTCAATCCAATGTCGTTTATTTTGGATTCTTTGGTGAGTCAGGTAATCGGGGAAACATACATAAACCTGATCCTAATAATTTATAAACCCGCATATGCTGAGATGAAGCTTCACAAAGGCACGAACAACTTCATAATCGCAAAGGGTGTCTGA